ATTCATTTCTGTTTTTTACAATTATGTTTTTTTTTACGAAAGTGATAACAAATCGCCAAAAACCAATGTAACGCAAGAAATACTAAATTTATACCATTGGCGTACTTAACTCGAATGACTGACATTTTTACCGTTACTAATTGTTTGTACACAAGTTTCAACTTTAAAGTCAAAATTTTTAATAAGTATTGGACGGAATTATAAAATTTAAAGTCTGTTGTAAAGATAATTGTAAGAGCTTTCAAAAGAAATATTACTCAACCCCCAATGCCATTTAAATATTTTGGGGTGATGCTTACCCTTGCTTGGGGGTGAAAGTGACGGAGTAAAAAATACCAGCAAAGAATGTTCCCCTTTAATCTAAAATCGACGGGTCTGAGCGTTTATCTCCAATCTTGACGCAGTTCCTGAAAATGGCTCTGCTTTATTTTCATTTGGCCACCCTGTATAACATAAGACGAACACCTTTGTACACAAAATGTATTACAGCTACTTACGGGGGTATGTGACACTTTTTGAAGTGGTTCCATAAAAAAGGCTCGTAACACTGAAGCAGCTTCTCAAACTGGAGGCATAAGGAGACGATGCCTTGGGAACTAGCGCACACTCTGTGCAGTTTGTGCCAGTACCTCAAATAGAACGCTCGAAAAACGAAGTACAGTTCGATGGGGTTCTCGAATAAATAACAAAATGGAGCAGCTGTAAAGAATGTTTTTTTTTCTGTATACCTGGTGTCCCATAACGTAGAGTAATAGGTGATTTGTGAAGTCATAATAATCTGATCTGACCAAACTTACCTTAGTCCAAAAGTTGATAGTAACCGAGATACAGGGTGTCAAATAACACTACACATTAGTCTAAATTCTAATACTAATTAAATGATAAGTTTGGCGTAAACTAGTTTTAAAAGCGTTTTGTAGGACTAAATGATAAAGTATCACACTAAATTCTTTAAATACAAATATCTCGAGAACGGTAATTCCTAGCGACGTTATGAAAGTAGACCTTTTTGACGTAAAAGTGATGGAAAAAGAGATGTTGCTATCAGAAAATAAGATACAGTCTGTATTAAAGAATTTGTGAACTACAGTAGTTCAAAGAGTAGGCGTAAAAGGCATCCTTTAGAATGTATGCCAAAATTATGAGAAAATTTGAATTTTTCATGTCAAAAGACCCATAAATACCAAATTTCGTTAAAATACATCAATTACTTCGAAGTTATGTAAAAAAAATTAAAATAAAATTTTGATTATGACTTTTTTGGACTAATAAGTTTGGCTAGATCACATCATGATGACGTCACAAATCCTTGTTACTCTATGTACAATTCGTTTTGGTACACCCTGTATAGTTACAACTGAGAAAATCTAGAGAAAACATTTATTTGAACAGAAATTTGAGCATTTGATGTCTCCAAAGGCTGGGATTCACATAAAAATAGAATTATATCTGTCACAATATCAATCGGATTTTTTTCCATCTCATACTATGGAAAAAAATTCATGTACACTGTGTAACAGTGACGTTGTGACAAAATTTCAAGGTTGATTTTCCTTATAGAAAAGAAAAGAAAAAAATCATTTCCCCAAGAAACATCGAATACTTTAAATTTGATATATTTTCTCATAGCAGCTATTTTCATGAAAAATTTAAAGAAATTTAAACAAAAGCTAACCATTGTCCTCGGAATTAGGGTTAAAGTACATTACATCTTCTAAAAGCCTTTTTTTGTTTGATTTCTAAACTGTAGTCGTACATTCGACCTTGTTCATGCTTACAATTAGTACACAAACTAGTTTTGCGTTCTATCTATGACCACAAATTACAATTAATTACCTAATCAATTAATTTCGTAACTTAATATACATAAAAGTTCAAAATGCTCTGTTGTACAACAGAACCAAACACTACTCTCTAAGCTGTAACATTATTTATTTGTATTTCGTGATTTATTGCAGATTGATAACAGTATGATACATTGGTAGTTTAATTTTGATACTTGAATGAACAAAAACATTAAAATTTTGAAAATAGGCAAACAGTAATAAGAGCTGAAAAGTTAATATCGGTTAATCATTTTTTTTAAGTTGCCGAGAAGAAGCTATCATGTACTTTTAACTTTAGGAGGTGTTTGAGATGTTTCAACAGTCAAAAAAAGTTATTTGGCAACGAAGACACTCTTCTTTTACAAATTTGGAAGCACTATTTTTAACCAAAACTTTTGTTGTGCCTCTTAAACTTTGTTTGTAGAGAGCACGGTTCAAGAGTAAAACTCCAAACAAAGATCAACATATTAGGTTTCGTTATGTCACTCGATCGTTAGCAGTTGCTCGGAAAAATGCCAAAATCCCTTATAGGCAAAAAAAAAATTCTTATTTTTTTCTATATTTTGATGAGAAAAATTTGTTTCCAATTACACAATTGCATGAAACGAATACTCAATAAATACCTACTTCTAAAATAATACATATGATTAGAATTTTAGTTTCTGCAGATTATAGATAATTACCACCTGCAACAATTGAAATAATTTTTAAACAGATGGAACAACTATAATAACATGGATAAATATTCTTTAATTCCAATAAAATAAATAATAGCACAGTACTACTAAATAACTAAGTAGGCAAACGATAAATGTCTACATGCAATATGTCCACAAACCATTATGAATTCGGGTCATTGACCAGTCATGCAACTGACTATTCAGTAAGAAATGAAATTGGCAAACTTGAATTTACTTCTGCTTTCTTTTTTTCGAAACCTTAAAGGTATCTTTTAAATACACTATAACATGATTTAATCGAGGAAAATGAAAATATTTTTGTAAATCTGAGGATATAAGGTAAAAGTACATATAAGAAAATTTATATTTTCAAAATTGAACATAATGTAGAGTTTTAATCCAGACAATACGAAACGTCCTTATATCCTAATTACATACGCAAAGTTTACATCATGATAGTTAATTAATTAATTAATTAATTTATTTATTTATTACCTACACCTACTCAACGGGATGAACCCACTTACAGAGCAGGGAAAAATTACAGAAGAAAATTAACACAATAAATACATATACATACATATACTATAAAAACAAGAAATCACAGAGCAGATTACAAACAATATTTCACAAACAGAAACACTAAAGATATAAATAATTCTTTAATAATAGAGATACTAGTGTTAAAGATGTCTATACTGTCCTGCACAGCTGTAAAATTTTCTACACATAATATATAAAGAGAATATTGTAGTATATTAGTACTGGCTGTTTTCAAATAAAAAGTTTCATTAGTCCGGGTGCTTACAGAAGGAACATTAAAGTTAAGCTAAGAATTTCGGGTATATCCAAATTTCAATTTATTATGTTGAAAAGAATAATAACACTGTGCATATCACGGTGAGATTTTAAAGATTTATAATTATATTTTTGAAGGAGCAAGTGCTGCGGATACACTGCCGGAGGATATACATTAAAGTCTTTATAGTTTAACAACTTTAAGAATTTGCGCTGCGTTCTTCCCAACAAATCAACATAACTAACATAGCTTGGAGCCTAAATCAAGGAACAATATTCCAATCGAGGTCTAACGAAACAATTATACAAGATCTTAACTGTATCAACATTGCAGAAATCCTGAGCACTGCGAATTACGAACCCCAAACTTTTGTTAGCTTCCGATACAATATGATGCACATGATACTTAAAAGTGAATTTAAGGTCAAAATAGATTCTTAAATCCTTAACAACATCTGGTCTATTAAGAAGTACAGTATCAATATCGTACGAAAAATAGACACCATCTTTCTTTCTAGAAAAAGTCAATACATTGCACTTTTTTACATTTAAGAGCAATTTGTTCAACTCACGCCAGAGTTTCAGTCTATTAAGGTTCTCCTGCAGTCCTGTAAATTTCCTATCTTTAAGTATAACTTCATGTCATCGGCATATAAAAGATGAGGTACAGTGAAATTGTCGACAATGTTGTTAATAAAAATAAGAAACAACAGTGGACCCAAAATCGATCTTTAGGTAACACCCGACAAGACCGAAAAACTATATGAAAAAAACCCCTGTAGCATACGTATTGACGACGGTCACGAAGATAGGAGTGCAAAAGTGTTAGAAAATTAAATGAAAAGTCGCATTTGTTAAGTTCACGTAAGAGAATATCATGTTGTAAGCGATCAAAAGCCTTGGAAAAATCTGTGTATATTACATCATTACATCCACCTGCTCCTGATTATCCAAGGCTTCAGTCAGGTATTGAGTAATACATAATAAGTTTGTCATAGTGGATTGACCCTTCACAAAACCAAGTTGATTAACGCTGATTACATTCCTAACGTGATTATATAAAATGTCATGCACTCATGCAGGTAGGACTCAAAAATTTTACTAAAATCATTTATGATTGTAATGGGACGATAGTCTGAGACGTCATTAATATCAATATTACCACTCTTGAAAATTGGACAAATTCGTGATGATTTCCATACTTGAGGAATTTTATTAGTCGATATAATTAAATTGAATATTGCTTTCAAAGGCTTTAATAAACTGTGAGCACAATGTCGAATAAGAAAAGCAGGAATATTATCAGGGCCTATAGTCATCTTTGATTTTAATTTTTTTATATACTTTAGGATTAGGACATCATGATCATCAACATGATGTAGACCCGAGTTTCGTTAATATTTAAAAAAGTTGTACCAGGAACGTTCTGAAAACGTAGACGTAACACTTTGACATCCCAACGACATTTTAGGAACGATAATATGTATCTTTGGGATGTAATTCATTTGTCCCATACATATTCCAAAAAGATATATGCGTAAGCTGGGAAAATTGACTTCACGACAAGAAATTTTAATATAAATGTAATATTATTTTTATCATCAGTTATAAAGGTTTGTACAGTTCGACCAGATTCATCTTCTCAAATTTTAGATGCGCACTGGTAACGTGATCAGGTTAGCACCGGAGCCCATTCTCTGTCTGAACCTACTGCCTTACTATTAAGATCTCCTGTCCTTGTCACTCTTGATCTAAGTTCGGTTTGTATTCGTAACGAGTACAATACTCACCATACATGGTAAAACCATGAAAGGGAATGACGCCACTTGGTGGAAAAACCATGGTGCTTTCCGGCTGGTTTTGTTTCCCTTTAACGACCACTTGCATGAATGCTGGTTGGCTGGGTAATTGCTTAAGGATGTCGCCGTCTCTAGAAAAGCACAACATCACCTAAAATTAACATTTCTGATTTATTGGAAAATCAGTATAAAGAAGTAGTACCCCAACCTGATACAATACGTCCTCAAAAACAAAATACTGGTCGTCATTTGAGGCGGTCAGATTTATATCTTTAATTATCAACTTGTCAGTCATTAAATCGTATTGGAGAACGTGCTCCTTTAAGCTTTCGAAATAGTGGTTTTGCTGAAAGAAAATAACGTTCAATTGTAAATTTTATAATAAACGATTCACTTTATACTGCTTGCGCCATATAAGATCGAAATTGATTTCCTTTTTAAGAAAATAATTAAAAAAAATAATAATACATATAAGTAGGTAGAATAATTTTTTTTTCGTCTAAAATAAATTAAAATGATTTTTATAAATGGAGAACTTAAAATCTCTACAAATATTTTAAATAGTTTACTGTATACAATAAGTAATTAATAGTTTGTTTTGATAAAAAATTTAAAATGAAAAGTTCAAATTTAAGATGAATATGTATTAATAATTTTTTAAAAGAGACTCGCTGACTTCACTATAGAATTTACGAAAAAATGTATAGTGCTGTTAAATAAATGTTAGTAAAATGTAATACTTTAATAAAGTTTGTTATTTTTAGTCAATTAGAACGATATAAAGCAACAAATCAACACAAATGCATCAATCTGTCAACTTTATGTTATCTACCTCTTCCATTGGAGAAACAATAATACTCTAGTTCGGGGATACCGGACTCACAATCAGTTTACCAATAAAAATGTTCACACAAGATATGAGGTTACACAATACTAAAGCTGAAATATAAAGGTATGTGTTGTGCTAAAAAAATGACCTCCCGATATTAAATATACTCTAAAAACGTTCATATTTGGAAATATACCTGTACATATACCTGCTACAGTTTCTTTAGAGAGCAATTTTTTGGAAATGTTCTGAACCTATATTTTTTCGTGTTAATCGTAAAGTTCTTGCAATTTTAATACTACCTGAAATTTTTTTTTATTTTTTAGAACGTACACGTGCTAAAAAATACATATGGAGTTTACACTTCTAGCCATGTACGTCACAATATCGTTTCCTTTTTCAAAATTAATTCAGATGAAGAAGAAGTTAAATGAATAAATCATAATGTAACAAAATTATTGAAAAAAATGAAAATGTAACAAATCGCAAGATGTTGATACAAATCTTTGATACTTAAAATTGCTATACTCCGCAGCCGAAATTATAGAGAGCGACTCATCGCTAGCTTTTGGGCTAGTAAGGGGGATGAAGCGTACCGGGAACGAAAATCCATTGGCTTGTCTCCGTAAAAAGCAACAAGATATAATAGAAAATATTGAAAAAAGATAATAAAACATAACATCTAATATTTTTTTACGGTTTGCTATAACCGGCACCTTGATCCATTTTAATTATTACAGCATTTTAAAACGTCCAAGCGGTGTTTTTTAATTTATAAATTTATTATAGCCAAGGAATTAGACCCCTCGTCTACGCTTGTGCTATGACGTTTCTCAGGACGGGTAAATCAAGTCCGTTTACACTCACTAAAAAAGCATTTCCCTATTCCCTACCAAGTGCAAAAGACAGAGATAGAAATTAGATCGACGTTCAGTGTAACTCAGTCTATAGACGATTATAGATTTTATCGATGTGCGTAACGAGCGGCACAAAGATAAATAATATTGAACCGTAGAAAAATCATTTTATATTTTATATGCATTGTGGTAATAGTGTTTTTATATTATGTCTGAGTCACTCTCTATAATTTCGACCGCGGAGTTATAGGTGAAATCTTGGATGCTGTAATTATAGAATAACATAGTATTATTAGATTTAGGATAAAAAATTACTAATACATTTTTTCTAGGACATGAGGAAGCTTTTTAGGGCTCAAAAAAAATATTTGAATTTCACACTCATTATGTTAATGTCTTGTATTTCCAAAAATTGCATCACCTGTATAAATATTGACATATACATGGTGACTACAACTTACACTGTTTATGCAGACGTGAGAGGGAATACGGAGCCGCGTTTCCCGAACTTAGTTCAACAACCAGCAATGAATGTCGGGATTTTCGAAGAAAATATACATATTCTACGTAAATATTTGTAATTTAAAAGAAAAATACTGGACACTACGAATTATATACGAATTATATGCGCAGTTAAAATTTATGTTTACTACATGGATATATATTTTTAATTTTTATGCAGATATAAACGTATTTAGATCGATATTCGCTTACAGGAATTTTTACTTCAGCGCCAAGCAGCAGAGTCCACATTTTGGCCCTGAGACATCTGGGACATCCCTTCTTCAGAAACTCTTGAGCTAAAGGTGCATAATTTTTTGCTAAAATTTTCTCGCCGAGAGCTATTCTCTCAGCCTCGAAAATTGTAAAACTTTGAGGAGTACTGAGGGAGGAATTTACGCATAAAATTTGCTCCCCTCTAGACAGTTCCACGTAGAAACTTCTCTGAAAAAATATACTAGCATCGTTTTGCAAAAATGGTTAGATTGGCATATTACCATGTTGGTTTATAGAGCTACTCTATCAAGTATGGTTGACGATACTTACCAGTTCTGCTAAATTTTTTACTTTAAGTGGTAGTTGGCTAAATTCCCATTGAACGTTTTCCCTAAAATTTAATGATTGTCACTTCTATTATTGATCCATAAGCATAAAACCAGTTACTTTATCTTTTTTACTGGAAAATTATCTAAATACTGTTTATAAAAATGATGATGATAATTTTCCTTAAAGAAATCCAAATAAAAGGATTTATCAGCTTTGATGGAAACAAATACTTAAGTAAAGTACATTCATAGATTCAAGAGATTACCCGCGTCTACTTCAGTGCAGTTACCGCCCATAGAAAAATTCAATACTTGAAATAATCTTCTTCAGGGAGTAATTTAGAAATAAAACGTTTTTAATAAATATATGAAATTAGTAATTTCAATAGTTTATGTAAACAAGGACATGTGATGCCAACAGTGGATAATTTACTAAGAACATATTTGTATCTAATGACGATTTAAAGAATGCCGATCTGAATATTTAATAAAAGTGGTCAGTATTGAAGAGTACATGCATACTTATACAGTGTGTCGCCGGATGGGGTACCGCACTCTTGTAAACTTTTTTATTGTTGATTTTTCAGAGAAAAATTTATTCTTGATAAAACGTTTTGCTTTAGTACCAATACCACGCTGCCACTTAACAGAGATAGTGCCACTCTTAAATCTATGAATGTACTTTACTACTGATTACTTGATACCTGTCTTTTATAGGGCCTTTTAAGTTCAACAACACTTCCAAAAAATCCTTTGGAGCATAGACTGGTCTGTACTTGTGGATTTCCACCTGAAAATGAAGAACTTCAAGTAACAGCAACTGAATAAACCAAGTGAGATTACCAACTTCGAAATTGCTTAGTTCTGTCCACTTGTTGACAATTTCTTCTCGTTCGTTAGTGTTCCTAACTTTCGCTAGATTTATGCCTAGTTCGTTGCACATGGAGTTCAGCGACTTGTGGATCCTCTTGTCCCAGTGTATTTGGCACTTCCTGAAGAATGAATCGTAAGGGCTGGTTTCTTTCTTTTTCGTCTTTATCCATCTATAGACGTTGTTTTTCAGTTCTGAAGCTAGGCCATTTTCCTGCATCGCTCTTAGTAAGGTATTCTTGAAGTCGTCGGCTTTTACACTAGGTGTGACCACCAATTTCTGAGAACATGCCAAGAATGTCTATTTTGACAACTTAAACCAAAATTAATGTCATTTCGAGACTACAGAATGTTCAAAAAGAACACAAAAATCATTGACACGCTGGTTCCTCGATTTAAAACAAGAAATATGTTTTGCCATGCAATGTAAACATAGATTTGTTTCTCATTGTATTAGTAACGTGCTCTCCAAATTTGCTAATTTGGTATGTTTTCAGCCACGAAAATTGATTAAATACAAATATTTCGAATTTTCACTGTCAAGATCAACGGTGACAAAATTTTTAACAGTAAGGCGATGTTTCACATTGTTATTAGCTATGTCCTGTCCAAAGTTGGTTAGTGCAACTCTCTTAGTTTCGAAAATTCAATACCTATGTAAAAATTACTTCATGTAGTATGTTCTTTTATATGCAGTTATTAGGTATCTCAAAATATTGATATCCAGAAAGAATGCACTTTGAATGAATTTTAAGTTGCAAAACCCAGTTAAGGACAGCCAATAACTGATTGTTAAAAAAAATATATAAGGACGCGTGGGTGGAAACAAATTCATTAAAAATTCAGGGGTTTGTTTTTTGGAAAAAACGCTCGCATACTTCGATTTTTATTTTTGACTGCGGTTTTTCTGATGGTAAATTCATGTATACAGGGTGGCCCAAAAATAATTTACTACAATCAACTTCAATTTTTCAAATGGGAATATCTATTTTTTATTTCATTTTTGAATTCTACATCGAATTCTAAGTATATCTCTTCTGTTTCTTATCATTTATTTAAACTCAACAGTTATCGAGAAATTTACTATTTATTTATTTATTTATTAATAAAACAAAACAACAAATAAAATAAAATGTTTAAATTGTTGACCAATAATTTCCTGACAATAGGCAAGTCGAACAAATACTCGTAATGCTAGGGGCTGGATTTGTTGTATTTCTTCTTTAATTCTATTATTGAATTCTTCAATATTTTCCGGCTTATTAAAGTAGACTTCAGATTTCAGATAACCCCCCCCCCCAGATAAAAATCCAATGGGGTTAGATCTGGAGACCTAGCGATAAAACCCCTCCTTTGGATCCATCTATTTGGGAAAATATTGTGCTAATCTCGTACTGTTCGTGAATAGTGTGAGGGCGCTCCATTCTGTTGGAACCACATATCGAATCTACCTGTATATTTGCGTTGCAGTTAAACTAGGTATTATGTAATTTTGTAGTAAGTCTAAGTGTGCCCTCAAAAAGGCGGACACACAATTGTGGCCCATACGTTTACTTTCTGGGGGAATTCTGTAAGACTTTCTATACTCCAATGTGGGTTTTCTGGTGCCCAATATCGAAAATTTTGCGTGTTTACCGAACTATTCAAACAAAATGTTGCGTCGTTAAAGTCTTACTTAAAAATTGCGAGCTGGCATTGCATCATCCTTCATTATTTTGCAAAATTCTAATCTGCGGTCGCGATAATCTTCAATAAGTTCCTGAACTAAATGTACTTTGTATGGGTGCCATTTGTTCTGCTGTAAGTCAACAATCAAAATTACCAGAATTGAAAAAAAAAACAAAATAAATACACAATTGAATGTTTTGCTCGATTTAGAAAAAAAAAAAAAAACTCAGAAACTAAGTCGAAAATACACTGCTCAATAATGGATACTGGATACTTGTGATTATCAGAAAAACCGCATCCAAAAATGAAAATCCGTCGATGTTTCAGCTCACAGAATTCAGCCTCACGGTGGCCAGAATAAACTTACTTAGTATTTTATATTAAAATATCAAGTATTTCGTGCGAACCTTTCTATATTACTTTTAACTAATTTCAAAATTTCATTTTCAATTTTTTTTTGTGTAGGTGAAACTAAACGAATAAATCAAGTTGGAAAAGCTTTAAAAACACAACGCAACTTGAACATAACATCACTATAATTAAATATGAATTAAAAAACATCCAAACAGTTCTTTATAAGTTCAAGTACTTAATTTAGAGACTAACCTGTATGTCTTCGTACAAACTCAAGTATGGTGCTGACTTCTTTAAATCATCGCATATTTTGATTGTGGTGTGATGAATACTCTTGTCTTTTAGGTCGTCCATTTGTATTTGGAAATTTGTTGAACGTCTTGAAACAAACAAGATTCCAACAAACAGATCACGGCAAATGTGTTATTGGTATCTTAGCGACGTAAATATTGATTATTCAGTTACAGATTGAGAACTTTGCCGTTAATATATCTTCTATTGTTTATCTGCATTTTGAAAGAGTCAACAGTTTACTGTGAAATCGCTTCAAACAATATGAAACGCTTACCTAAAAATAATTTCTGTTTTTCTTTCTTTATCTAAATTTTTTTGTTTAAATTTAATCTAATTTTAATAAAAAATAATACAAAATTAAATTAAATAAAAATTAATCCTTTAAATGGAAAAGAGAGGAAAGGAAAATTATTATTATTATTCTTTGTTTAAATTATTATGAAATTGACCAAAGTGGGATTAATTCAAGAGCGATTTTCTCAGAAACCGTTAAAGATAACGATTTGAAACAAGAGTACCTTTTTAACGTAAAACAGTTCGGGAAAACGAAATTTGCTGTCTAATTTGTTAAAAAGTCAAAGATGAAAAAGTTACACACGCAAAGTACCAAGGGCC